TACTTCTCTTCCAATGTTCTGTAGAACCTGGATTTGTAATCAGACATCTAATTTTTATTTTCAATGGCATTAGTGTATTATTTCTATATAAATCTTTTTTAAAAAAATGTTTTTAATATTTATTTTTAGTATTCGGCAGACAAAACATCTTTGTTTGTATGTGGTGCTGAGGATCAAACCCGGGCCACACGCATGCCAGGCGAGCGCGCTACCGCTTGAGCCACATCTCCCAGCCCCTCTATATAAATCTTCATCTTAAATTTTCACTCTCATTTTGGCCTGCAGTAGCATTTTAAGAACTACAAAGTGTCACATGACACAGCAGATCGTGCCTAAATCCCAGCAGCTCAGGAGGCTGAGACAGGAGGTTTACAAGTTCATAGCCTGTCCCAGCAACTCAGCATCTTAACCGTAAGCATCTTAGCAAGACCCTGTCTCAAAATAAAATATAAAAAATATTGGGGAAGGGGCTCAGTGGTTAAGTGCTTGTAGGTTCAACAATGGTACCAAAAAAAAAAAAATCAGCAAGAAAGAACTGCAAGTATCACATACATGAGGCTATAAACTGCCTGGTAACCCCCTTTTTTGGGAGTACTGAGAATTAAACCCAGGGCCTCATGGATGCTAAGCACTCACTCTACCACTGTGCTATACTCCCGTGCTTCACTTTCCCTTTTCCTTCCAACTTTGACATTTAAGGGTAGCCCTCTCTCAAATATACTTATTTATCCTTAGATTTCTTACCAATGTTCTGGATTTACACATAATTTTGGGAAGTTGAATTCAAAGATAAACCTATTAGATAGCCACCACTCATTTAAAAGGCACTAAATGCCAGGTACTGTATTGGGGACGTAAAATATAACATTAATTTATTTAATTCTTTCCCCAACTATGACATCCTGCCTCCTACTCCACCTTCTATGCATAATAAAGTCTTAAATGCCTGAAACCATTTCTGTTCATTTTCATCCTGTTATATCCACAGCATAATGTCTTTCTTTTTCCTTTTTTTTTTTTTCTTTTTGGTGCTGGGGATTGAACCCAGGGCTGTGTGCGTGCAAGGCAAGCACTCTACCAACTGAGCTAATCCCCAGCCCAATAATTTTCAATTTTAAATACAAGTTTTTCATCTTAAGTTCATTATCCTTCCCGTGTCTTTGACACTTTCCTTTACTATGGTTTGATCTTCAATTTAGAAACGAAATCTTCAATCTCCTTTTAATAAATTCAGCAGCAATCGACACTACCCAGAGAACACATCAAGGCCCATGAACCAATCATTGTTATTGCCACCACTATTACCGCCAGCCTTTTATTGAAAATTTACTATGGGCAAGGCATTGCATTAACCTGTTATATACATTTTTTCCCAGCTTTACTGACATACAGTTAGCAAGTAAATAATGTAAGTCATGTATTTATATTCTTATTTAACCTATAGAATGGCTTACTTTACAGGTAAGGAAATACAGGCACACAGGAAAATCTCTGAGTCACGCAAATAACAGAAGAAAGATTTGAACGGTATCTATGATGTATTCATACTGTAGACCTATTAGTCTGAGAAACACCCTTGTCCCCGCACTATGGGCACCCATATGCCTTTAGGCAGCAGGTGATGGCAGAGATGAGGAAGAGAAACTGAAACCTAGGAGTTCTGAAGACATGTTCTCAAATAGCCTAAGGAAAAGGGTACTTGGAGCAAGTTCATCTAGATTCCCTCCCACGGTGCCCATTGTAGAAGTCACTAAGCTTCGAGGTACTTTGGGACTCTTAATCCTAGTTCTGCCTCTAAAGGTAAAAAGTTGGCTTGATCAAAAGCACAGTACACACTAAATATCAGTCACTGAATCCTTACTTTTAGCAAACACACAAGCATAGGTGTACACACACACACACACACACACACACCCCTCTGCAGAGTCCTACAAAATATTAAGGCAAAGAAGAACTCTAAAATGCCATTCAGTGCTACATAATACCCTGATTATCTTAAAGACCATCCTCCAAAAGAATCTATGGGATTCTGAGTGGCAATAAATATTCACCTGTGAACCTAACTCCATGAGGCATACCTTGCAGTATTAAGAAGGGGGAGTATGATTTACGGGAACTCTTCTAGAACCTGCTGAGATTTAAATATATCCTACATCTCTGACAGCAAGCCAAAAACAAAAAAAAAAAAAAAAAAAACCACTTTCAAATGCAAGACTGATTTCCTAAGACAAAGGTCAGTCTGGAGTCCTTAAATGCCTGTGCCTGCATATGAAATCTGTTTGTCAAAGTATTCATTCGAGGAGAAAAAGCAATGGGACAGGAGAAAAGCACAGCTTCCTTCCTGAGGCTGGGAGAATTGACAGCCTCAATTTTTTCTCTGTGCAAGGAAGGTGGGTGGGCTTGGACATGTGTTTAGATATTTTCCAATTTCTACAGTTTAGAGAAGTAGTTTCATTTCTTGAGTTCTTTGAGATTCAACTATTTACACTAAGTACAAGAGAAACCGAAGAATCAAGTGTATGACATTTGAAGAGTAATTGGGCTACACAGAAATTTATAAACTATGCTCCTAACTTTTCTTCAGACATGTCTGTTAAGGAATGAAATCCATTATTTGTCACCATGTATTCCTCTGAGGACTGTCAGGACTTTTCACTTTAGGACACTGGACCTGACAATACTTTTCCTGTGACTCTGGCCTGTTTCTACTGAGGGAAAAAGCCAACAGATCCCTCTAAGTAGCTGGGCCTTTCTACATCCTTCATTCCCTTCAGAGATGAGTTATGCATAGAAAACAACTTGTGGGCTGGGGATGTGGCTCAAGCGGTAGCGCGCTTGCCTGGCATGCGTGCAGCCCGGGTTCGATCCTCAGCACCACATACAAACAAAGATGTTGTATCTGCTGAAAACTAAAAAAATATATATATATATTAAAAAAAAAAATTGTTATGAATCGTCTATCTAAAACTCTGGGCAAAGGTCACGAGTTGCAGAACAGTGAAATACACATCACTGAAGTCTAAGATGCCTCCTCCTATGCCAATACCAAAACAACTCCTGAGGCTTGTCCTCAGATGCTCTCCCTTGCCATATGGCATCCCAAGGCCTGCCCCACTGGTCCATCACAGCATGGCGTCTCTTCAGTATGTAAACAAACCTCCTATCCCCTGCCATCTTGCTGCATGTAATTTGTAGCCCTCTTCAACAGTTCTGGTTCTTGTCAGAGATTCTACACTCAAGTGGCTGATGCTCATTCTCCCACTCCCTGGGAGCCAGAAAAGAGGGTCAATATTTTTCTAACTTCTATCCTTGTTTCAAAAGCTTGTCTCCATCACCATAGCTCTCTCTCTCTCTTCCCCCCACCCCCATGTGATGCTGGGGATTGAACCCAGGGACATGTGAATGGAAGACAAGCACTCTCCCAACTGAGCTATATCCCCAGCCCCATATCTCTCCTTTTACCACCCACTTTAGTAGCACCCTACCATTCTTAGTAAATAGCCTCTCAAATGACCGAAAAAAAAAATACTCACTGGAAAAGAATTTTAGATTCCTGTCCCAAGTTATTTTAAGTACCCATATTTGTACCTTCCTTTCAAACCTGGCCCCTTTCCCAGTGGAGAAGGTAAGCTTCCTTTCATCAAATTCTAACAGATGAATTTCTATAGGTATGCAATATCATCCCCTCCTAGCACCATCTTCAAAGACTGTTTAATCACCCCTTTCTAGCATCTAGATATTCATTTGCTAGACACAAATAAAATGCTCTCAAGTTTCATTTATCTATTCATTTATATATGAATTAGTAATACTTAATGAACATGTACTTACATATGTATGTAGTTATAGATATGTAAAACCTACCACTTGCCCTAGAGTTACCTAGGTAACATGCATTCTATCAGTATTTTCTCATGACAAGGATTCTTAAAATAGTCTACTCTTACAATTTCCAATTTCTAATATTCTGTTCCATTCTCAACCCATTACTCACTGATGTAAACTCTACTGAAACTGTTCTATGCTTACCAAGGGCATCCATGTGACCCTGAAAACTTCTCTATCTACCTTGACCTGTCTGTACATTGTGACCATATTTTGTGGTGATCCTTTTGTTAAAGTGCTCTTGGTTTCAAATTCCACCAAAAGTTCACCAATTTCTTCTACCTTTTATTCACTCTCCCTTACTCTTTCCTTCCTCCAATGTCTTAAATCCTACTGTTTTGTTGGACTTTGATCTGGGCCCTATGTTCTTACTGTCTGAGCTTCCCCTTGATGACCATTCAAATGCTGGAGTTTCACATATATTTGACCTTGCTGCCAATTATATGTATCAGGACAGTTGTCAATAATAGTCCCCAGACTAATGTGTCTAATGGTCTTCATTTCACTTTGTGCTCCTATGGATATTTCTACATGTGACATGTCCCACAGGGAACTCATCATTTTCCCTTCCAACCATGAGCTCCTATGATCTTGATCACAGAATTAATGTCCCACTGTCCATCCAGTTTCTTACTCTAGAAACAAAAGCCATACTCACTACTTCCTCCTACTCATAAAGTGTATGAGTAGGAGGAAGCAGTTACTCACTTACTCACTGATGTAAACTCTACTGAAACTGTTCTATGCTTACCAAGTTGCCACCTCCTAGAGATTCTTTAAGTCCACCCTCTCAATTTGTCCTCAATGTATTTGCCTGTGCTATTAACATGAACTCTGAATTAATCTTCATTCTATAAGAAAATATTCTTTATAATCCATTGTGTGCACAAAAATATAAAATTATATGCATGGCCCAATTTTGGTTACTATGTGAAATCTCATAGTGATTATCTAATATAATAGACTAAGTCATAATTTTCATTTTATTTTCCAAGTGTTGCACCAAAATCATGCATTTTCTAGAAATCACACACTCACAAACAAAAAAATCCAAAAATGAAAATCAGGAGAAACCCTATTTTGTAACATAAAAACAAGGCGAAATGATACTGTACCATGCATCGGTAGCATATCTAGAAGACAGCATTCCTGGGTAGACAGAGGCCTTTGAAACAACTCGGGTCCTGGGCAGTTGGTATAAAGGTAAATCATCTTGTTCCCTTCTAGGAGCCACAGCAGGAAGATCAGTAAGCATACTAGGACCTTGGACATCATTTGGAATCATCAAATCTGAAGAGCAAATCCAGACAATAGGAAATATAAGACACAGTCACTTATCCTTTGGGCATTCAGTAAGTTAGGGCAGCCACTATGGGTAGGCACGATTTCAGCTAGGAAATATTAAACAAAGATGCAAAGTCAGGTGGTAGTAAGGACTAAGGTGAAAAGTGAAAGGACTGCAGAGTAGAAAAAGGTTACAATTTAAATGTGGTTTCACTCAAAAACATGTATACATAAATATATTACATATACATATATTTTATGTATACACAAATATACGTATATGATATATACATATATGATATATATGTAATAGTTTTATCAAAATAATTTCCTATGATAGTTTCCTAATCTTACTGTAAATTTTCCCTTTATCAATGAAGGCTGTCCCAATTATAGGTACTCTGACACTTAAAAAAAAAATTAGTCCATGGTAACTAATAACCAAATTAAAACATTTATATTTTTAAACATTACATTTTTAAAAGTTATCTTACTTAGTTCTCACATTGAACTAAAAGGAAGAAAAGACATCATCAACTGTCTTATAGGAAGAAACTCAGGTTTGGGAATTTTTGCCAATTTTTACCTGGTGATTAAAATTGTATGGTATGTAGGTGACCACAATTTATTTAAACATTTACCACAAAACATTTTTGTAAAATTCTTATTAATTTTGTTTTCTTCTTAGGATGGTTGGCATAATAAGCTTGGGATGTGCTGCTGAGAAGAGGGGAACAGCTTTGGAGCTTAGTTCTTACATTCTTCCCTAGGTCTACGCATTATATTGTAGAATTTCCATATTAATAAAAAAAATTTATAAGTCATGCTTTTCTCTTTACATTTGCTGTAATAAACTAGAGGGAGTTTCTTTTGTCTCACCACAACAGAACAGAACATGTGCTGATGTAGCAGGTTAAGGTCAGCATACTGTGAAGCACAAGTGTATATGTAAGTCTGCATAGATTGTCTACACACATCCTCACATGCAACTATATGAACATAACATAATGCACAAGGTACAAAACATACATGGGATTCCACACAACAATTTTCCATGAATAGGGAATCAGGCTGCAATTTAATGGTTTTATTGTATTTAAAAAACAAACAAACACACACAGATCTGGGAGGGATTTGGAGGGAGGAAGCTGAGAGGAGCCAAAGAAGAGGTACACCAAAATTTTTTCATGTGGACTAGAAAAAATTGGAGGGATATAAACCAAATCACAAATGCCTTTGCAGATAATTTTTGTATCTACTTTGTGCTAATCTGCACAGTCTTATTGTTTTCTCGTCTTACCCAAATATCTTCACAGAGGCCTCACTTATTTATTCACTTCCCCATCAAATGTCACTCTGCACCACATACCCCATATAAAATAGCACCCCTCTCCACTCTGTATCCACTTACATTGCTTGATTTCCCTCACCACCCATACCATGGCACACACAGATGTGTTATGTTCTGCCCACACCAGAGCGTAAGCTCCAGGAACAGACTTGACTTTGTTCACAATTCTACCTTCAGGATTCCTATACAGAAACCACCCAGCAAGCACCTTTGTATATAAGTAAATATGACACTGGTTTAATAAATGAAAACTGAGTTTTTAAGTTAAAAAAAAAAGATGAATATATTGTTTTCCTAAGTAGAAAGCAAATCAAAAAAGTTCACAGCTAATGTTATTATTAGCACGGATAACAGTTATTTGCATCACTCTGCCCATTTAAAGAACATGTGTATCTTTTATAACCTTGAAAAGTGGTTTGAGACTTCTGATTAAACACCTTCTGTGATCTGGGAATGGTATTTATTCAAACAACATTAATAGGGAGCCTAAAATAGCTCTGTTTAGTCAAACAATGTAGAGAGAGACTAAAATCTACATACAAAGTGCTTTGTAAGGTATTGGCAAATCTTACAGAAACCTAAGGAATTATTTGTTGTTCTCCATTTTCTTCTAGAAAATACAATAATTACAGATAGAAAAGCAGTGCTGTTGAAGAGGTGAGTGTGCACAACTCAGCGTAGAGTGAAGTACAAGACGAGAAATGGAGAAACCAGGAGGGCCCAGCAGCAGGCAGCCTTGGTGCCTGGGGAGGACCCTCAGGAGTCTTACCCTGGGGTTTACGGCACAGCTTCACAGGATGCATAGGTAAAAACAGGTTTTTCCTGCAAAATATTTCTTTGAAATTTTTGTTCTCTGAAGAAATTTTAAAACATCACCAATTATGTGATTAAAGTGTTGAATGAAAGCTCAAATATAAGGAAGATGATGAAATACTATTTTACAGGATTGATATGTTATGCTTATGATATTGATTGATATGCTTTTTGTCACTGCGACAAAATACCTGAGAAAATCAACTAAAGGAGGAAAGATTTATTTGGGCTCATGGTTTGAATCCATGGTTGACAGGGTCCAGTGCTGTGGGCCTCTCATGAGGCAGAGAATCCTGGCAGGTGAATTTGCTCACCTCATGGTGTCTAGGAAACAGAGACAGAATGAGTCTGGGGACAGTCCAAAGGCACACCCCCAAGGACCCATGCCTTTTAACTTGGTCACATCTCCTACCAATAGTCCATTCAGCAATGAATCCATCAGTAGATTAATCCATCAGTGAGGTCAGAGTTCTCATGATCCAATTACTTCCTAAGAGCTCCACCTCTGAGCTGCCTCTTTCACAGCCTGGAGACCAAGTCTTCAACACATGAGCTTTTCTGGGATATTCCAGGTTCAAACCATAACCCTTGGATAATAGTAAATAGCATAGCTTTGATCGAAATGATAAGTAAATTGTAATCCTTATTAAGATTATAGACATCTATTATTTGATTTGATGCTTCTTGTGAATTTTTAAAAATTTCTTACAGAACTTAAGCTAGAAAATGTGATAAAGATAAAAGGTCTAATGTAGCTTCTATACTTCATTTTATTTTGAGAAAGCACAAACACTGAAGAGGGCCTGGAGGTGGGGGCAAGACTCAGGCAGGATGGCCTAAAACCAGAGACCAGGCCTAAGACCAGGGATCTGGTTCTATTTGCAGAGCTATTTCCCATGCAGCTTTGTTGGTAAAAGCAGTCTGTTCAATTAAATTACACAGTTAGGCTGCACAGGTTCTGCAGTTTGTTTAAACTTTTCATTACCCACTGCATGCAAAGGCTGCCCGTGCCCTTTGCTCTACTGCCTCCTCGATGGACCCTTGTGGGTGCTCAGGCACACATTTCTGACCTCTCACAGTGCTTGACACACACTTTACAGAGCTGTTCTCCAAGTGCACCACAGGACCCAGGAGCCCATAAAACAAATCACGTCCTGGAGGGCCTCTCCAGTTGTTAGGTAATGGCCAAAACAGGGGCACAGAGGTTAGAAAAACAGGGAAGCTTTAAAAAAAAACAAAACTTCTGGATAAATGGAAGTTAATGCTTACAGGAGAGAAAGCGGGTAATTTTCAAAAGGTTTATTACTTGGTCAGAATGGTACCAAAAAAAGGCAAGAAGAATATAAGAAGAGGGGGGGTCTGGGTGACTGTCTAACTGAGCAAATGAAAGAAAAAAAAATTAGAGGGTTGGCATGCTGCGGAATAACTCCAAGAGCAGTATATCACTTTCTCACTGAACAAACGTTTCTTGAGTGCATACTATGGTAACAGAATCAGATACATCCTGTCCTTCAGAAGCTTAGTATACAGCACAAGACAGGCCTGCAGATGAGTACATGCACTGGCTCTTGGGGCCAATGGTGGAAATTCATCCAAGGCCACTGTAGGTACATATCAGGACAGGGCAGTAGGAGACAGGAAAATGGAATTACTTTCTGTTTGAAATCCTGCTACACCAAGTGTATTACTCTTTGGAATTTAGCTTGTATGCCTTATATTATTAGCCATGTGATTTTGTAGGTGTAGTTTCATAGCTCATGAAGAGTATAAGAACCTTAAAGATAACACAATATTGGTTTGGGTTTTTTTTACTGTTGTTTTAGTGGTGCTAAGGCTTAAACCCAACATGCATTTTGCCACTGAGCTACATAACCGGTCCATAGTTATACATCATTTTGGATTAATCTCAGGGTCAAGAATAGCCCTTAGAACACAGGTTCTCAAAAATGGTTTTTAGATTGTCCTATAGATAAATCTAAGATTGTCTGTTACTCAGAGAGTAGATAACAAGCTATGGATTTGAAAGGAGCCTCAGAGAACACTTAGACCAAATCCTTCAGTTCACAACTGAGGAAATGGAAAGGTGTGGAGAGGCCAGGGGCTTGCCTGGTGACATGGCAAGTTAACAGCTTAGTACAGAGGGGCCTGGGACTGAAGTAGAGTTATATTTGCTGGACAGAGATCTCAAGAGAAAAATGAGAATTAGAATAGAATTAACTCAATACACATGCCGATGAAATTTTTAACAACTCTGTACCAATAATCCCTCAACCCACCATGGTTAGCACTAATCTAAATATTCTTGCCTAACATACAACATTGTGGAGGCTCTCAAAGTTTTTCCTAAAAGTAAGTGTTTTCAGGTCTAAGATGTATGAATTTAGCATCATTCCCAAAGTTATAATCTCGAAGAATGAATACCTAGGGTCTTGAAAAGTAACAGATTAAGGCAATGTAGTGGTTGAATGGTGCTTCCCACCCAAAAGATATGTCCCAGACCTAAAAAGGTGACCTGATTTGCAAACAGGGTATTAGCAGATGAATGTTAGATCTTGAGGTGAGATCATCTCGATTACACAAGTGGGCCCCAAATCTGATGTCCTTATGAGACAGAAGAGAAGAGCCAGATGAGGCTAAAAAAGCTACATGAAGACAGGGGCAGCAACTGCACTGATGCAGCTGTGAGCCAAAGAACACAGAAGCCACCAGCATCTGAGAGAGGCCAAGAACAGGTTCTTCTCCAGAGCCCTCACAGGTGTTGATGGCACCTTGAAGCAGGACTTCTAGCCTCCAGTACAGTGAGAAAGTAGGCCTACTGTTTAAAGCCATCAGGTTTGTAGTAGATTGTTACAGCTTCATAAGAGACTAACACAGGCAGCAGAAGGCACATGAAGGAACTCGGGACTCACTCAGAAGATATGCAAAGCAGGACTCAGATCAATGGGACTGGATTATCCAATTAACTGGATCATCCCCTGTCTTCTTCCCAACTACCCCTTGCATCACTCCCCAGACACCCACCCATATATCCAGTCTCCTCCTCTCAGTCCTGAGGATATAAAGCAATGGTTACAACCACAGAGGCAGTTTTCCCTCCAGGAGACATCTGGCAATGTCTGGAGACATTCTGATTTTGATCAAGACTGGGAGAGGGACTGTCACTGCCCTCCGTGGTGGAGGCCAGGGAAGTAGCTACTCATGCTGCAGTGCACAGGGGAGCCGCTCACCCCCACACAAGAAGATCTGGTCCTAAACAGTGACAAGACTGCCACAAAGACCCAATGGAAGTCAAACAGATAGCCTATTCATTTGTGTTATTTTATGTCTCATGTCCAAGGATTCAGTAGTCAGAGAATCATAGAAATGTGAATTTACAATGTAGTATGCCTGGAGAGTTTCAGAGCCAAAAAACAAAAGGCACTTTTTTCACCCAAGTATATATGATCTTGAAAAATTGGATAGACACATCTAGTCACAGACATTCAAGAGTAACCACCCATGCACTGTCTTGACCCACAGGGAACTGACAGGTGTTACCAGCTCATGAGAACTCCACTCTGCAGATATTACATAACAGAATTCTGATCTCATATAAAACAGTTACATCACATTCTACAGCTCTCCCCCCCGCCACCATCTCTTAATAGGAGAAATGCCCGTAGAGGAAGAATCTTCCTCACATAGAGCTGTAACAGGTAAAAGACAGCATAAATCCTGAACAGTAGTTCTGTAAATCCCAGTGCATGGAGGAACTATACAGCTCACCTAGGGATGCTAATATTATAATGACATTCAATATTTCAGTGTTGAATGAAGAACAATTATGTTTTAAAATCAAGTTTTCAAAAGTAGCTGAGAGCTGATATTAAAGAGAGGCAAGGAGAGGCACAATACTTTTAGAAATCTTTAATGGAAACTAAGTTATTAATGTACTAAAATTGACTGTAATATATGGCTATAAAATGTATCATAAATGTTTAAAATATGCCTCTCTTTATTAATATTTAACCACCCCATTCAGTGATCTAACAATACCACTTAATAGCATTAGAGATTTTAACATATATTAGTAGAAACTTATTTCAGTGTAAGGAACTAGTTTTAGTTTTAATCCATACTTCTAATAAAAAGAAAAATGAGGTTCAGAAAATGTAGCCCTCTCAGAAAACTGAATCTGAAAATTCTAAGTGGAAATCTGAGTCATGGTTATTCTTTTGCATATTCTGAAGCAGATTAATAAACAGATTTAAGTTTAAAACATCATAATAAATCAAAGTATGACAGTGAAATCCATTTTGTATACAAAATAAAGATTGCAAATAATATAATTTGTGCTTATAAGAAGCGAAACTCACATACCTAAATCCAGACTGCTTTTTGCTAACGAATTAAGATTTTCCATGTCATCAAATCTGCTATGTTGACAATCTCCATCAGTTGAGGATATGGATGGGAGGGAATCAATGCCAAAATGTTCTTTCATCTTGAGAGGAAGAAAAGTAGAAATGCATTAGTACTTTATGAATAAATCCGGAACATCATAATGCTATTCAAACCAGATAATAAGAGTGGAGAACTGGACCTAAAAACAGTTTTGCTCATAGGATACTGTATGCTGTGCTAAGCAGTGACAAATCCTGGTTACTCAGTGTCTGTAAGGCTAGTAAAACTTATTTTTTCCAAACACTAGATTTCCAACAAAAATTTTGTTTTGTAAACATTAATAAGTAGGTTTAAATAAACATATACCAAGATGGAGGAATAAAAAATCCATCTACCATCACAAGCACGATCAATCGTTTGGAAGCACACAATCTCCTGATCATGCTGCTCAGATGCCCACAACTTAAATAGCTTCACTGTTGATCCCAAAAGACAATTGCAAATTTTCATATTTCTAAGCCTGTGCTCTGCCTCCCCTAGCATTCTTATCTGCCTAGTGAACATCTAGTTACCAAAACCTAAAACCTGGATATAAACCTAACTCACAGCACTTTCCTTTTATATACGAATGCTTTCTTGGTTCTCTGAAGTTACAATCTGCCAGAAAGCTAAAACTGTTTGTGACCCCCTAAAACTCATACATTGAAGTCCTAACTTAGGAAGGGATTAAAATATGCTCTTCTCGGGGCTGGGGATGTGGCTCAAGTGGTAGCGTGCTCGCCTGGCATGCGTACAGCCCGGGTTCGATCCTCAGCACCACATACAAACAAAGATGTTGTGTCCGCCAAAAACTAAAAAAAATAAATATTAAAAAATTCTTTAAAAAAAAAAATGCTCTTCTCATACATTGACTATTTAAATCAAAAGGACTTGAGACACAGATGATCACTGTGTCCTTCATGCTGTTTCGTGGCCGCAGAAGACAAAAACAGATATTTCAGTGTGAAAGATGCCATTCTCCCTAAACTAGAAGGAAAGTCAACATCTGTATCTTCAAAGATGAGACACTGAGACAGAATCCCTTACAGACCTCATTAGAAGAACTTATGTTTTAAGCCTCCTCCCATGATCTGGTCACATTTTCACAGTTTATTACCCTTTACCAATCCAGGACACAAATAATAGATTCTAACTGCTTCTTTGAGTCTTCATTTCTTTATGAGGGCTCCTGTGCCACATGAAATTTGTGAAATAAATTTGCTTTCATTCCTTCTGTTAACCTAGCCTATGTTGATTTAATTCTATGACCCTGCTAGGATGATAATGGAGGTTTTCTGCCCCTGTAGCCTCAAGGTAAAGGTGTCACAAGGCGGGGCCTTTGGTGAGGTGACTAGGTCATGAAGGTGGAAGTTTCATGAAGGAGATCAGTGCCCTCATAAAAGAGACTTCAGAGGGAGGGCCCTCGCCCCTTCCATCATGTTATGAAGCAGTTAGAAAATGGCATTTATGAACCAGAAATCAGGCCCTCCCAAATACAGAATCTTCCAGCCCCTTGATGTTGTACTTTACAGTCTCCAGAAGTGTGTGAAAAAACAAATTTCTGTTATTTGTAAGTTACACAGGTAATTAATGGTATTTTGTTATAGCAGTACACACAGACTAAGATATAGAACAAAAAATTTTCATACATACTTTATTATATATTTTTAAAAATTTGTAAGCATGAATTTAAATTCTATGGTCACCATAGAGATCTATCTTAATTCACTTAAGATGAATAACACTATTATTTATTCATTTATTTATTTTTGGGGTGGGGGGGATTACGAGGAATTGAACCCAGGGGCGCTTAACCACTGAGCCACATCCCCAGTCCTTTTTTGGATCTTTAGAGACAGGGTCTTGCTAAGGAATTTAAGGCTTTACTAAGTTGCTGAGGCTGACTTTGAACTTATGATCCTCCTGCCTTAGCCTCCTGAACCACTAGGATTATAGGGCATGCACCACTACTTCTGGCCAAATAATACTTCTTCATTGTTAGAAATCTTGCTTATGCAAAACAAAAATATGAATTACATTTTTTACAATGGTCCTTTCTAAATTTTTTTTTATAAAATCATAACCAGACTTCACTGAACCTTCTTTCTCTTCAATGGTAAGAGAAGGTTTTCTTGTGAAATGGTATACTAAATACTACAGGCTTTTTTCAAATAAATTTTGAATATAAATATGGACATAATCACTTCAGATACCCAAAGGAGCCTAAAGAACATAGAATTCAACCCAAATATTATGTAGGGGTAAGAAAGGAGATTAACTACTTAGTTGTCTTGAATAAAATAAATAAGAATAAGCTATTAGCAGAGACCTAGGCCAAAGGCCTGACTCTGGGGGACCCACTTGCCCCCAAAAAAACAAACAGAAAAAGTAATGGTGAAAAGCAGTAAAAAACTTCAGTCAACATGGCCATGCTGGGAAGGCAAAGAAAGAGCCAACATCTTGGCCCTGTCTTGAGGTGCTGACAGGAGCTTCAGGTTTAAACAGAGAAGAATTGGGGCAGGGGACAAGGGTCAAGCAGTCTTGGTCAAACGGTGGTCTGGTGGATCGAGGTTTTGGTTTTGGTTCTGGGACGTGGCTCCAGAGAAGCCCTGAAGCTTCCACTTGTTGCTTGGGATGCTGATCTTTGGGACCTAGGACCCTGCGTGGGGGAGGGGCGATTTGGTTCCAATGATTTGATCACTCCTGTTTGGGGGGGCTGCATATCATCATAGGATGATGGGGTGATTTTCTGGAAGGGGTAGGACAAGGAATGAAGTCTTCCATGTGCCACTCCAGGGGTGAAAAACAGGATGCAGCAAATCCTGCCTCGACCTTGAAAGGGAATGAGATAGGTTAGGTAAAGTTAGAGCTAATAAACCCTGTAGCCTGCTGTTTAGGTGAATACCCATTAAATGATTAACAAGCCTATGTGCAGAGCTGAACAGGGACCTGATCCAAATTTTAAAGTAAAGGAGGAAACAGATTCAAGATGGAGGCAGAGATGCCAAGCTTCATCCTGCTTTCAGCTACCCACTGGGCACCTGCAGGCCTAAGTAAAGAATCGGGGCTTTTATCAAAACCGGCTTTTTTTTTTGAAAAATTAATGGCAGTCCAGGCATAGTTATGGTGCATGCCCAGGAACTTAGGAGGCTGAGAAAGGAGGACCTCAAATTCAAGGCCAGCCTCAGCCAACTTGGTGAGATCCTGTCTCAAAATTAAAAATGAAAAGAACTAGATGTGTAGCTCAGGGGTAAAAACATCCCCGAGTTCAATCCCTAGTACAAAAGAAATAAATAAAATAAAATTTAATAGCAATGTAACTGATAAATAAATGATTGATACCCAAACCTAGGTTTCAATATGGTACATTTGAAAGGTTCAATCTTTAAGTAAACAAATTCAGTATTTTCCTTCTAAATCACGACAAAAATAACAATTATTCTCTCAAGTAAATAATCCTGAGGCTAAAAAGATATTTTTAGATGAAAATTACATTATGAGTTATTACTCAGATACACAGAAAATGAGAACCAGATATTTTAAAATTGGCAAAGGACTATAATAAATATTTTTCCAAAGATTAAATAAAAATGGCCTCTAAATACATGAAAGATTTTCAACATCATTAATAGTTAGAGAAATACAAACCCAAACCACAATGAGATGGTATTTCTCTCTCACACTCACACACACACACACACCTAGCAGACGAGTATTGGCCAAGATGTGGGAAATCAGAAAACTGCACTGCAGGTGGGAATATGAAAGACAGAATGGTGTTTCTTCAAAACAAATATGGGATCATCATTTGATTGCACAATTCCACCTCTCCTGTATACTGGTGAACGTCCAACACCAAGACCAAAGCATTCTTGTCAGACTCAGACAATGTGGAGCTGAGAAGTTAAGAAGGAGGAGGGCTCTTCCCAGTCTGAGAGAAGGGCTTTTTCAAAGACTTTCTAAAAACCCCAAAGATATTTCCCCTTCATTCTAAGTGCACCCCATGCTTTACATACCTTACAAGGAGACACGAATTTCAGTTACAGAGTTTATCTTGAACATTCTTTAAGACCGCAACAATTTAGATAACATGCTGTTAACAGAATGTTTGCCTCTATCAATGGGCATTTCCACTACTGAGCTGACCAACTCCTGCCTTGGGTCTCCAAGACCAGTCAGTGAACTTTGCATTCAAGTAGATTGTGTCAATTTGTCCCCCTTTTCAGGGGGTAGAGGGGCAGGGGGAAGTATTAGGGATTGAGCTAAGGGGAAACTTGACCACTGAGCCACATCCCCAGTCCTATTTTGTATTTTATTTAGAGACAGGGTTTCACCGAGTTGCTTAGTGCCTCCCTGTTGCCGAGGCTGGCTTTGAACTTGTGATCCTCCTGCTTCAGCCTCCCAAGCTGCTGGGATTACAGGTGTGTGCCAAGCAATTTCTCCCTTTTTAATAGCTTCCCCTTGCCTCAAACTCCTTGCACTCACTAACAGTTTACTAGGACAAATGTATTCCCATTGCAATGCTCTGTCATTCCCAAATAAATAACACTGTTCTTTGGAGAGGCACTCTGATCATTTAGTTTGACAACCCAGAAGAGCAGCAGGAACTTGAACAGATATTTATTCCCCAATGTCCAAAGCAGCATTATTCACAAGGAACAAAGATGGAAACAACCCAACATCCATCAACAGATCAAAGAAAGAACAAAACGTGGTATATACGTGGGGAACTTCTTGGATATAAAGATTATTTTAAGCTGGGCTTGAGGTTGTGGCTCAATGGTAGAGCACTTACCTAGCACATGTGAGGCACTGGGTTCAGTCCCCAGCACCACATAAAAAAACTAAATAAATAAAATAAAGGTATTGTGTCCATCTACAACTAAAAATATTTTTTAAAAAAGATTATTTTAAGCTAAAGACATTTGTAATTTGGCAGATGCAGGAAAAAAGCAAAACAAGGCTTCTTACAGCTTCCCTAACAGGATTTAAAGTAGTAACTTCTGGAATAGGAGGCTGTCATCAACTCCCTTGGACTGGGCCTACCCCAGGACTCACACCCGCAGAAATCAACATGATCACTAACCTCCTTATTTCTTTTTTGTTCTAACACCACATTTGCCCTTCCTAAGCAAACCCCTTTGTTACCCCCATAGAAACTCTTTCTTTTTCTCTTGTTAATGCTCATAAGTCTTAATCACTAGCATAGAGGAAAATTTTTTTTCTCCTTGACGTATACATAAAGGGAACATGATTCAGCCCCAAGAAAGAAGTTCTGACACCTGCATGACATGGATGAACCTTGAAGATATTGTGCTAAATGAAAAGTCAGATGCATAATGATAAATATTATATCATTCCACTTGTATGAAGCAGTCAAATTCTTAAGCAGAAAACAGAATGGTGGTTGGTGTGATGGGATGAGAGAGGGGATAAATACCAGTTATTGTTCAGTAGGTAAAGTGCTTCAGAGTGGGAAGATTAAAAAGTTCTAGAGATAGGGAAAGTGGTGGCTAAGAATAATCTAAGTATATTTAAGGCCACTGAATGTTACACCTAAAAATGATTAAAACATTCAATTGTGTTCTGTGTATCTTACCAATGATTAAAAACAAAACAAAAAAAACCAGATCTATAAACTTCATGATTTACCCTTCAACTAAGTTGAAGTATGAGAGTGATGGAGAAAGAGGAACTCCAAAGCAGTTAGGTACAAATACTGCTAATATCTATAGTCTAAAATGGACATTACAACCAACATAGAAATGATAATATTTAATCTACTCTTTTGGAGGGCACCCTCTAAGTAGATACTAAAAATCACATATTTATCAGACACTTGAATGTATTTCTAAAAATCTCTCAGGGCTTGCAAAATTACATAATGTAACAGGTGTTGTATCCCTAATCTGAGAACCTGAAATCCGAAATGCTCCAAAATTTGAAAATTTTTAAGCATGAATATGGTACAACAAGTGGAAAAACCCACATCTGACCTCATATGACAGTCTCAATCAAAATGCAGGCATACTAAAAATAATAGGCAAAATTACTTTTTGGCCCTCGGCAACTTAGCAAGACTCTGTATTAAAATTTTTTAAATAAATAAAAAGAAGTGGGGAGGTAGCTCAGTGGTAAACAAGCATTCCTGGGTTCAATCCCCAGTACCCAAAATATAAATGGATTTGATTTCGACTTGTGTTTCATCCCCAACATATCCATATCTATATCCAAATATTCTGAAATCCAAAACACTTCTAGTGTCAAGCATTTTGGATGTTCAACCTGTACCCAATGATAAATTAGATTAAATTATCATTACAGGGTTCATCAATAATGAAAGGTGGACAAATGAAAACCCAAGCCCACCCTGATAATGTGGATATAAACTGTCATCACTATGGAAGGGAGGAAAAGAATTAGTACCCCAAGCAAGAATCCAGAATTATTTAAAGAAAATAAAACTGCTCAGGACACATTAGGGCTGAAATAATCAATGTTCTATAATCTTAAATAATATCATTAATTAAAAATAGGCCAAGAAATGAACATTTTACAGATTTAAAAATATGAATGTTTAAACATAAAAAATATGGCTATACATTTAAACATAAAAAAATTATCACTACACATTTTATCTATAAAAGTTTATATATTAAGTGGGACTCATGTTTCAGATTGCCTCTTATTTGGGGAAATAGAAAATTTCCTTTTTGTAGAAGAAAACAGCTCTAACAAGCAAATATGGCTGAACTGGTAAAGGGGGCAAATGAAGTTTAACACAGATTTAGTAATTAGGATGCAAGACCTTCAAATTGCAAGTGCTAACTGTTGAATAAGGTTTTAAAGAACACAAACAATGCAGTAAGTGGTTACATTGGGAAAAGCATTTATATTACCTGATAAGGATTTTTTATAAAATAGTAATGTTATGCAAATGAGTACTTTAGATAAGGATAAAATTTTGAGTGACAGTATGTATTCAAAAATGCTGTGTCTCAAATACCTAGAAAGAAAGATGATATATTTGTAAAACTGTGTTAAATTATCAAAAACGTGATTGTAGTAAATGTATGACATTGAATATGTATTGAAAGAATTTGAATAAAATATTAAGTGTGAGAATAAGAAAACAAATTAACATGTTTTAAAATACAAATGTTTAACTAAACTTATTAAGTAAATATTATGAATATATATTCAACTATTTCATCTATAACCTTAAAAGTTTATATGTTAAAAAGCACTGATATTTCAAGTTGCCTTTCATTTAAATGAAAAGAAAATTTTCTTTTACAGAGGAAAAAACAGCCATAACAAGTAGATATTTATGAATTTTCAGTGATCTCTAATTCTAACTTGCTAATATAACTGCATAATTCATCTGGGGCTGAGCACTTAGGATGTAGGAGAGGAGCTGGCGAAGACGAAAGGCGGCAAGCAGGGTCAACGGCACACACTGGTCCATTGTGCATCACCTCTTCCCTCTCCAGGACCAATACAAATTCCAAAAACAACTGTTCCCTGGTAGAGTGCCCAGGGCCCTCTACTTCAGGAGTCCCATAGATGCAGCTAGCAAACAATCTTGCCCAGAAGACAGACCCAAAAGATTAGCAGGAGGAGAAAAGAGGGCAGGAGGGGAAGAAACCACCTCCATTGGCCCTGTGGGAGAGAAAAGAAAGGCCTGTCTGCACATGGCCTTGGGAAAGATGCCAGCCTCTGCAGGCAGCACAGCCCACTGCATCTGAGTGCACTGCTAAGCTGGTTTTCTAAATGCATCCTTGTTCAGTAACTTTCTTTTCATTTTCCTAAAAATTAATTCAGGGTGGGAAATAAAAATAAAACATTAATAAAAGTCCCTAATAAAAGATTTCAACTTGAGTCTGGTTAAATATAATTTTATAAAAAATAAAGTTCACTGGTGACTTAATAGCAAGGGAAAACCTATTAAAATGTAATACTCTCCTGACAGGTTATACATAGACAGTATCTCAAACGCAAAGATGATTTTCTAGTGTACACTGCTTTTGAGTCACATAGAACACAGAGAACACTGAATGGCCAAGATACAGAAAATGTAGATGAAACCTGGCCGGCTCCAAACTGAGCACATAGGTTCCCCAAGGACTGCTGAGGCACTGCAATTTAGAGAAATATGAGAGGGACCTCAGCAGCCCCGAAAGGCTGCTGCTCCTTCCAGGTATACAGGAGTTTGTGGACATCTTGACCCAGGAGCCCCTGAGGCCCTCCCTCTGTCTTTGGAACACTCTAGTAATTCATTGATAACAGGAAAGTATGAGGGATCTTGTGAGTAGCCAGTACAGCTCCTTTCTTTTCTGGAGGATGCCTATATTAGAACTGGATCTGTTGGAGCTGGAAGGCCTGGGGCTGTCAGATATATGCACCTACAAGATCAAGGACAGCAGCAATGGCAAAATGACTGGGCAAGCAACAGGAGCAGAGCAAGAGAAAAACCCAGGAGGTGGTACCCTCCTAGAGTATAGAACCTTCAACTTATGGAGAGCTCCCGTTGCCAGCATCCACTTCTTGGAATTGAATTTGCTCTAAGGCCAAGACTTATCTCTCCCACCACCTTGCCCTTATTGTCTTCTCTTTCAAACCCCTTCCTTCTCATTCCTTTCCCAAATTAATCATATTCTCTAGCCTCTATTGTGTGGTGGTGCTGATGAATCTGCCAGTTGATTTTTATTTATTTATCTATCTATCTACTCCATTTCTTTCAAAAGCCCTTAAACTAAAGTAAAGGGTTCAAGCAATCGAGTACTGGATCATAGAAATCCCATACCCACCCCCTGGATTATTAACCCCAGAAAACAGGCTTTGTGGAGGCATCAGGGAGTAATAAAGGAGTACAAAATGGAAGACAGTTTTGATTCCAGTTTTAATCAGCTTCAAAGATTGCTCAAATCAGAGGGTAAAGCACTTGCTTGGCACATGTGAGAACTTGGGTTTGATTCCTAGCACCACACAAAAGAAAAAGATTGCTCAAACCTTTGAAGTTTTCTATGGTTACCAGTAAATTAAGTATTTTTCCCAGAGTTAATGAAAACCTTCTAATTTTTAAGACGATTTGCCACAACAGAATGGTTTCCAAAATGCTAAGGTGATTGTCTTCTTTTTTAATTCTGTTCCTTCTTATAATACATTATTTTCCCCAGAGAAATTGGGGGCAAAGGTATAAAACAAGAGGAAATAATACATTATAAAAAATGCAAATATGGGAAAGCACTAAATCATTTCAAAATAGTTGAAACTTTTTCCTTCCAAAAAGTGTTCTTTGTTTTCTACAGTATTGAGGATTCAACTCAGGGGTGTTCTACAACTGAACTATATCCTGGCCCATTTTATTTTATTTTTTTTAATTTTGAGATAGGGTCTAAGTTGTCCATGCTGGACTTGAACTTGTGATCCTTTTTTCAGCCTCCATAGTCCAAAAGGATGTTCTTGAGCTTATTCACTTACAACTTTGCCTCTAATTGTGGGATGATAATTCTAGCTTAGGAAAATCAGATTTCAAATCTTAAGAAAAAACCTTGCTAATAAAATAATTTGTAAGGTTCTGATTTAGCCTTCTGAAAGGCATAAGGTTTGGTCCTGAGTATTTAGTCTTGCCTCCTCCTCATTTGCAATACAGGATACCACTAATCAGTGGGCCTCAGGCACAATTCTAAAGCTACCTTAAGACCATGAAATAAATAATGACATTCTGCCCCTACACCTTGTTCCCACTCCTTCCAAAATTACTGCTGCTGATTTGTGCTGCTGTTTACTCATTTATTTAATAAAGACATTCAATCCCCCTTAAAAAAAGATACAATGTGTTTTTCATTAATTTTGCCTTGATTTTCCCTGACAAATATACCATGTAAGAAACACACAACCACTTTCTCCCATAATTGGAATTTAAAAGAAAATCACAAATGTTAAAAGAATTCTTCTTTGAAACAAGAAACCAAGAGAAAAACATCACTAAAAAGCAAAGCAGAAAGAAATCCACTGTGACACCAAAGCAAGTGAAGCTTACAGATTCCCAAGAGACACTTATGCTCATGGCCACACACAATGTGGTACATCTTAGAGCAATCATCCATCATAAAAAGATCCGCTGATGTTTTGCTTTTTTTTTTTAACAGCTATGAGAGTTAGGGATAGGCGGGGGGTGCAGAGGGGAGGATGTGGAAGCAAAGTCACAATGCCTCACCGTGTGGTCAGGGCTGTAGCTGTACTGCTGTGTCCCCTGGGAGTACATGCTCATCATGGGTCCTGCATTCTGAGCCTCCGGTGGTTCGCCAGCTGAGTGGCTATCATGTAACCACTGTGTACCAAAGTGGAGTTCCTGCCTGGAGGGCACAGGAGTGGCCTCCTGAACATTAGAAGAGGTATATAACTCCATAGACTGAAATTGATTTTGATATAGTTCATATTCTTCATCAACAAGCATTTCTCTTTCTCCACCCATTTCCTGCAACTGAGGAGTCAGAAATTCGTGCATTTCCCAGGCTTCTTGGCTGCTGTCTACTTCTTTTCGTTGAGATTGGTAAGAATTTCCCAAATCTAGAAATGGCTCGTCCACAAGTTCTTCTTTAAAATAGGGTTCATCTCTAAATCCCTGTAAGGAAAAGTTGCAAAAAATGTTAAACTGCACCCGTCTTAGAGCTCAGCATGTACCTTAAATGGAACATTAAAATGGTGCCATAGCTGCAGTGCACCACCTCATAAGCACTGCATGGCGGACATGATCAGGAGCTATATTTCTCCATCAAAAAGAAGAAACAGAAGCTCACTTCCAAACAACCCGCAACCCAGAAAAAGGAAAAACAGTAAAATAAGAGGTAGAAATCTGCCCTTGGCAAGGTGAATGACTACTCTAAAAGGTTCATTATACATTAACCACCTGAAAATTCTCCACTGGAACTGGGAACTTTGTCAACTGCCACACTAAATATTTGATCCATGTACTCAATATAAAAAGTAGTACATAAATACAAAAACTAATACTTAAGAAAGCAAAGACTAAAAAATCAGGATCATCAAGCTTAAGTAACTTAAAAGAAATCACAGCTATTCAATGTTCAAAAAATAGGAAGGATAGTAGAATGAAATAGACATTATTATTACTATGTATATGTATGTGAATGCATGACCAATGTGATTCTGCAACTCAGAAAAATGAGAAATTATATCCCATCTGATTCAAATGTATGATATGTCAAGATCATTGTACTGTCATGTGTAACTACGTAAAACAAACAAAAAAATTATAAAATAAATGGGCAGTATATTTCCACTACTTTTAAGTATGATTCATTTGTATCATATAAATATATTTTTCATCTATGCTGCAAATGCATAAGAAAAAGAAAAGAATACAATATGCTTTTCAATTAACTTATAATTTCACTAATTAGAAGCCAGTACATACCACTGAAAGTAAATAGTTCTACATGTGCAGAAATTTTATTGAGTTTCTGGCTAATGCCTAATGTATATATGGATTTGCAGAGCCCCTGACTTAACCCTGGGGAACCTGTCAGTGCAGAGTCCAGTGAGGCCCAATTCCTTCTAAGACATCAATGATAATTCCTATCCTAAGTATTACGGGATATAAATGCCTGGGATAATTCTACTCTTTCCCATTGCTTTCTTCACACAGCTCAACATCATCGTGGTGAAGCTTTTAAATTAATATAAATTTAATATCAAATAATGCAACCTGGTTATGTGAAAAAATAAACTTTAATTAGAGAGTATATTTGAACATATCACATAGATAGGAAATTTTAACCAGAAAAGTCTAGTCTTTTAAAATAAAATGTAATGGACATTACAGGAACACCCATCAGTGTGAGACACTGTCAACACGGTTGCCAAGAATGTCACCAGACATGAGTTATCAAGCAAAGCAAGCCATACTTTCATTGCAAAGAATAAAACACAATTTATTTTAAAAATCAAGAGGAAAACTTCCAAAATCACTTTCTACAATTATAGCCTAAAGTGGGGTTTGACTAAAGAAAGTATTCAAAATGAAATTTTTTGTATAGTTCCATTTTCTACAGCATTTAAAATACATGTCTATTTTCAACAATATGTTCTCCTCCCCAAATTTGAGGATTATATTAGTGATACAAAATAAAATGTTCATTCTTTGGAAATGCCGTACATATTCCTTGTATCATTTTAAAGAGTCAAAGTAATACAGGAAGGAAAAGATTTCACTTTAAAAATAATAATAGTAACAAGTGAATGGGGATTCTTTAATTTGTATCTACTTAACCAAGGGAGTGGGACAAGCTTTGTCTTCTTTAGAAAAACCTTAGCACAGCAAATCATTTAGATGGGAAATTCACTACATACCTTGGGTGCTTCAAGTATTAAAGATGAATTCATATCAAGAATTGTTCCTGGAGGTTCAGTCTTGTCTTCATTACTGTTTGAATGTAAAATGTAACAACTTTCTTCTTTCTCATCTTCCTGAAAATATAAACCACTTTCATGAGTTTAGCTTCAAACTTTCTTTAGATTAATTCTCATATTGTACAAGTACACAACAAAATTTATGCAAATTGTGTCATTAGAACAAATTTACTTTCGTAATTAAAAAGAAAGATGGGCTGGGGTTGTGGCTCAGTGGCAGAGCGCTTGCCCAGCATGTATAAGGCCCTGGGTTCGATCCTCAGCACCACATAAAAATAAATAAATAAAATAAAGGTATTGTGTCAAACTACAAATAAAAAATTAATTTAAAAAATAAAAAAAGGAAAGATATACTTAGGTCAGGGCTTCTCAACTTTAAGTATCCCTTAAAGAAAAATTACTTGGTGATTTATATATATAGCTATCCACCAGGTATATGTTTAAGTACTTTAAACATACTTAACACACTAATTAATTTATTAATACATGCTCTAAAAAGTGGGAGCTCATACTAACTCTATTTTACTGATGTGGAGAAGGAAGTACAGCCATTTGCCCCATATCCCACAGCTGGTCAGTTACATATCCAGAAAGCAAACTCAAGCTGCCTGTCACTGAGCTTTGTGCTCCCAGTCACCATGCAGTCTCCAACTTACAGATGAGCAAGATGGGTGCTAGTGAGACAAAATGATTGGCCCAAGAACACAGGGCCTTGCAAACCACAGAGAACTGAGCAAAGCCCACAGCTATCTATCTCAGAGTTCCATTGCCTGTTCTGTCCTCTTCATTCTGAGAATGATGCAATTTTTAAAGTCAGCTTATAATTTTTTTTTCCTTTTGTTTTTTTGGATCTGGTATATTCAAGGTAAGTTTGCAGAAAAGAGGAGACAAATCACATTTATGGTTAAGATGAAAATGTATAACTGAAACTATACAGGTCTAAGTATTACATGTCATATACCTTAATAAAAATAATTTTGTTCTCATAACTATTATATGTACACATTCTCTTGGCCACAACCTGACTTAGGATCTTCTTATTTACATTCTCTTTCTCTGTTTCTTCTATGGATTGAGTAAATCCTCAGTTAACATTAGCTACGCAGCCACCATGTACAATAAGAAAGGGACAGGGACATAGACCTCAGAGGAGATCCGTTTCTGGTTTCTAGAATCTACAGCTCCTGAGTAGTTTTGCTAAAAGAACCCAGATGCTAAAGAAGGAATTACTTAATAGTTTAAAAAAGAAAAAAGTCTTGAAATTGACCTTTCTCTCCATCCCTTTATTGGCCTCCCACTCCTAAGTCTGCTGGCAGCCTTGGATCCACTAAGGGAGTCCTGGGCAAAGTTCCACTCCACAATTATTATGTTCCAAAACACTCTTAGAGCAAGGCCCTGGAGTCTGAGGTTTCTGCAGCTCTGACTGCCAGAAATCACCCAAGAATCCACACTCTTTTGGTACTAAGTCCCATTATTGACACTGCTTCAGAATTCCTAAAACTGCTTAATGGTATAGGCTGGGCTGCTTAAGTCCTATAGGACTAACTATCTTGGGATTTTTCCCATGCGGTGACAAAATTCTAGCAAATAATCACCTAGGTAATCTAGAAAAAGTTCCTTCTACCACCTAAAATAACAAGGAGATGAGGTCCCATGAAAATATTCTTGGTTTTCCCTTCCTTAATTTGTCCAAAAAATCAAACCAAGCACTTCATGGTGTATTACTTACGGGTTAAGATAACACACCAAATACACAAAAAGTCAAGAACCTGATTTAGCTATGTGTTAGATTATATTTTGAAACATTTAAAGTTTCTGTTAAGTGTAATATACAGGCCTTTTTATGTGTACTACATGAAAAATTAAAAAAACTTACTGGGGCTATGGGAGTAGCTCAGTGGTAGAACATGTACTTAGCAGGAGTAAGGCCTTAGATTCAGTCCTCAGCAGCAAAAATTTTAAAAAGTAATACACTGAGGTTTCTTGGAGAAAAAAATAGGTGTAATGCATCAACCTTTATCTATATATAAATATAACTAGCTAGCTAGCAGAGTACTTATGTTATTTGGGCAATATATTGAAGTATTTCATAGATTAAAGAATTTAGAGTTCAGAAAGACCTTAGAAGTTCTCTAGACTTGTTCATTCTTCTAAGAAATGAAAAACTTAGGTTACTAGAAAAAAAGTAGTATACCTGTTGATCAAATTACAGAGGTGACCCACTGAAGAGGGAGGCTTGTGAATAGTACATCAAAATTTCTCAATCAGAATCTCTTAAGGGCAAGACTCAGAAAATTGCATTTTAAACATCTCCCAGGTAATTTTTATGTAAAATTACATATTTTTGAGTTTGAAACCCACTGGGCATTATAACTCTGAGCAAAGCTAGAAACAGAGTTCATGTTTCCTAAAATCCAGTCCAACAACCTATCACAACCAAGCTGTTTCAGACATGCTACCTACAAATTAAAAAAAAGGAACAATACAATCAAACAGCAGCACATGTTCCTATGTTCCTGCAGCCAGGAACACAGGGTCTGAAGCAGCCTGGCCAAGTTCATATTCCAGCTCTGCTTTCTGCTAGCATATGACCTTGGGTCAGCTACTCGACTCTCTTGTGCCTCCACTGACTCATTTGTAATGTGAGTACAAAAGGGTGACCTTTAAAGTTGCTTCAGCTACTACTACATGTGGCTTCTACATGTAGTAGACTTAAAATATTGTCATTAGTAAGCACTCTTTAATATTTTAACATCGACTGAAATAATAATAATAATAATTATTATTATTATTATTATTTTTGTACAGGGGACCTTAACAGCACCATAACTGAGGTACCCTTCTGTCAGGAAGACTGACCTGACATAGTACATTAAGCAATAAGACTGTTTGATCATATAGAAGTTCTGGGTGCTAGGAGTCACCGGGTACTCTGATGACAGTTGGAAAAGCATTAATGTCTCATTGTCATAATGTTAAATGATGTGGTTGACTGACTTCAACTTATTGTACTATCTTAACATAATTCCCTAATGAAAGTTAATATGTAAACATACTTACTTTAATTTGCATTAAGGAATATGATAGAAACTTAGATTCTGTGTGCAAAACATGAAGATGAAAATAGTAAAAGTGGTACTAGTAAGACTAGAAATGCTAACAGCTAGCAGATATATAGTAATGTGCTCAGTAAGCACCTACTGAATATAATATTCTTTAAACCCTCAAACCGTATGAGATAGACATTATTTTTTCTGATGCTATAAGTCAAGGACATTAAAAAACTTGACTATGATCAAAGATGCATTAAGCAGTGGAACAGGAATTAAAGGTCAGGTGTATTTGCCCCCAAAGTCCATGTTCTTAACTGTTGCAATACTATTTCCTATGTTAACAAATTTCAACACTTAGAGGCCAGACATATTTATCTCCAAAATCCAGAACTATTGCATTATCATTTCTTCTTATATTAACAAAATTCGACACTTACCACCAAAGGCTTACAGATACCAAGGTGTACAGTGCCTGGAGGCACGGCCTTCAGTACCTCCACAGCTTCAGCAAGTGTGGTATTGTCCAAAGAATATTCATTGACTGAGACCAGGCGGTCTCCAGGTAAAAGTTCTCCACTTCTTTCTGCTACACCATCTGCTACCAGGGAGCGGATCACAATCACTGATCTTGTGGGATCTAAAGGGTCCTGTGAGTCAAGCAAAGAACAATGAGCTGATTCCCTGTAAACAAATATGCAGGTTTGCTATGGTTTAGATGTAAGATGTCCCTCAAAAGTTCATGTGTGAGACAATGCAAGAAAGCTTAGAGGCGAAATAACTGGGTTATGACAGTCTTAACCCAATCAGTGAATTAACCCCCTAACAGGAGTTAACTGAGTGGTAACTATAGGCAGGTGGAGTATGACTGGAGGAGGTGGGTCATTGGAGGCATGTCTTTGTATCTGATGAGTGGAGTCTCTCTGCTTCCTAGTGCCATGTTCCCAACTGCTTTTCTCTGCCACACCCTTTCACCATGATATTCTGCCTCATCTCAGGCCCTGAGGAATGGAGCTGCCTGTCTTTCGACTAAGACCTCTGAAACCATGAGCCCCAAAATAAACTTTTCCTCCTCTAAAATTGTTCTTGTCAAATCTTTTGGTCATAGCAGTGAAAGAGCTGACTAAAACAGGACTTAAGACAGTGTATGTTTAGTGAATCTCATATATTTATTCCATATATTTATTCTGGTAACATTTTTCTAAATCTCTCTATACATCCATAAAAATATTAGCTTATATCAAAGTAAAGATATACCTAAACAGTTTCAATTTAATTTCTGCATGCTCAGTCACATATCAAAGTCTTTTTAAAACTTTTGGTGACTGACATTTTGTTGGACCATGAGAGGTCAGCAAAGAGTTGGGCAAGACTATCTGATATTCTCAAGCACTGTGGATCAAAGACAAACCCATCTATGACTTCCAACTATGACTCCTCTTAGGCCATAAGTAGGCTCTAAGAGAAGCATTATGGGAAATGGCATTCCATTCTTAAATACTTATCAGTAGAGCATCCTCTCATGAAACCACTTAAATTCAGAAAAGTCATGGAAACAACAGCATATTTCACTGTATTTATATATATATATATATATATATTTTTATGTCAGGCATGGTGGTGAATGCCTGCAATCCCAGTGGCTCGGAAGGCTTGGGCAGGAAGATCATGAGTCCAAAGCCAGCCTCAGCAAAAATGAGGTGCTAAGCAAGTCAGTGAGACCCTGTCTCTAAATAAAATACAAAATAGGGCAGGGATGTGGCTCAGTGGTAAGTATCCCTGGATTATTCCCCAGTACCAAAAAAAAAAAAAATACACACACACACACACATATATATATAAAACAAAAATAAAAATATTTATTTATTTAGGGTTAGGGTTGTAGGTCAATTATAGAGTACTTGCCTAGCATGAACAAAAAGCCCTGCATTAAATCCCCAGCAACATACAAACACAAAGTATACTGAAAAATAACATGCAAAGTTATGACATGGTTATCTGGCCCTGCATCAGAACTTTTCTAATACACAGAAATGAACTCATGAACAAAACCAATGTATGGATCTTTTTCATCCAGTGAGAGAATCCCATATTTCTTTTCATTAAGCACTGAAAAAAACCACTGATGTTATCAATACATTTGGTTAATTTAAAAAAAACAATTCAGTAACTCCTTTAATGTTTACTTTATCCAACAAATAGATACAAAGCATTTGCTCTGGTTTGCTTTGGTCTGTCTCTATTGTCTCTGCATGCACGTATTGTCCCATATAGGGAAGAGACTCTACTTCTGCCAGCTTTTGTTAAATACTTCCTGAGTGACTAGAGGAAAACTGCCAGGTTTTATGTAGAATTATAAGATTTTGGAATTAACAAAGTGAAGATCTGTCACATTCCCGGCTCTTTTTGAAGGGGCTGGTGACTTTTTTGAACTTTTCTGATCTAGTTTTCTGTACCTCTATGTTTTAGACATATAAGGTTCATTTCTAATGCACTGCACTGAATTTTAAACAAATCTACCATATTTAAATCAACAAAGACTACAGAGCTAACTCCTTGGGGAAAAAAAATAATGTCTTCAGTTTATTTTGCTTTTCTCAACTAACCTTGCCTTTCCACCCCCAGCTAAGAGACCCTTGGTAATTTTCTACACGCTCTAATATTTAGTGCCACAATTTATGAACAGAATTAAAAGAAAAAAAAATAGTCAAGGGAATGCACTAATAAAGTATACAGTGTTAAACTATAATTACACCAATATTTTCAAGCAGAGGGAGCTATTGCACAGGAAGAGAACAGAAGGAAAAAAGAGCGTGGTGGCATATCAGCAAGCAATCAGTACAGTAATATAAAAAGAGCTGTCTATTTTGTCACCAGCAACCATGAATCACAACACACTTTTCATTCTGAAATATGAAACCATTACATTTTAAGTTTGACACACTAATAAATAAGCTGTACAATTATGTCCTTCATTTAGGATGTCAGTTTTTGATGAAAGGCTTTTTTATTGGGGGGGAAGGGAAACTACATAATAGCTTATTCCTCTCATGAAACACAGAAAGCAGCTAGCAATACTTCATATAATGAGTAAACTTTCTTAGAGAAAATTGCAACAGTAACATAGACCAAAAGTAAATAAATGATTTTCCCTAAGTTGGCTTCAAGCAATCTCTGTAGTTACATATAGTGCTGAATCAAAAAGGACTATTTTTAACCTGAATAGGTGAATGAATACATTTTCAAAATACTACAGGCTGAAATAATTAGAAAGATTCGAATTATATAATTAGGAAGATTCACCAGGACATGCTGGAAAGAGTACTCTGGAAAGAGTACTCTAGAAAGAGTAATCGACTTCATTTAATGTAGCAAGGGCAGGCAATCACCCATTTACACACAGCAGTCTTCTTCAAACCCTAAACCAGAGCCAGGTGGACTTGCTTACTAAAGTTTATTCAGGTTAGACGGCTAGTCAGTCTAAACACTGGGTCTAAACTACCCCCACTCCCACTGAACCCAAAGACAGCTTCTTTGTCCCTGGGAGGGAAGGGAGTGAAAAACAAAAAAAGAGGAACTACCACCTCTGAAGATGCTCCACTTTGTGCAATCACTGCTGCATTTTCTGGGGTGACTTTTCTGACCATGTAACCACAGAGCTGAATAGAATCCTTTAATGAGGAACAGTCATCTCCTTTCATGGCCATCACATGTAGCAGCCACCCTCTGGAAAAACAGCAGCTGTCACTGCCTACGGGGCGGATGCTATTCTTGAGGCTTTGCTGCGTGAAAAGTGCTGGAACACCAGCCTGACTCAGGCTGCTGCTCTTCAGAAACATCCATTTCCTGAAAATACAGTCCAGGCTGTCACAGGCACGCTATAGCAAAGAAAGTGTCATAAAGACATTTCTCAAGACCCCTACCCAATCCCAAGGCCCTTCAAACATATTTTAAAGCCACCATCAGATTTCAGCATATTTTGTCATAATTTTTAAATCTCTAATTTTTCTTTTTTGGCAAGAAACACTTGTGTTCAAGAATCAAGATGTTGCTTTAGACTAAATAGCCAATAGAGGGCACTAAAGACTAATCATAGTATGCAAGCTATTCTCTTCCAGAGGAGGTTTTTCCTCTTTATTCAAAAGCTTTATATTATTACACATGCTCTTAACAGTGTCCCATATGTTTGCTTCGAATCAACCATTTATGAAAGTTGCTCCTGATAGCTCTTAAAAATGTTACCAAACTCCTCTACCCAGTTAAGAATAACAAAGTTTCATCAGAATATAGCACCAGGGGACAGGAGAAGAAAACAGACCTGCATTCCACACCTTTCCACTCCACAAGGAAATTTGAGGACCACCTTACTGCTTTGTCTCACATGTGAATGAAACCACCACACCTACCTCAAGAAACCTGCACAACAGGGCTTTTTCTCGGTGTCTCGAAGGGATGCTAACATTTGATATTTATTATAAACATAGGGTGCTTCAGTATTCAGGGAATTGACAGACTCCTCATCTCCATCATTTCCAAGTGGCATCAGTGTACCCAAGCACTCACTTTCCCTCCTCTTCCGCTGAGATGCTCGCAGAGCCGGATCCATTGGATCTTCTCCCTTTTCTATCTGACCTTTACTCTCCATTTCCAGCATCGCTACCTTGGTTCAGCTTCTCGTTATTCCTTGCCTGGGCAAATGTTATGGTTTGCTGATTGGTCTACCACCATTAATCTGACCATCAGTCCACTTTCCTTAGAGATAATGGAATCCTCTTTTTTAAAACAAGTGAGCAGAACTTCTCCTTAAGGTAGGAATTAAAATACTTAAAATACTTTAGTGACACCCACTATGTCCTAACTTCTTTATCCTTTATGGAAAGAGTTCCTTCAGATCTACATTTCTGTCCCATCTCTGCTCACTCTCCCCTCATGTACCACTGCCTGCTCCCATGCACCCCACACCCTGTCCCAACAATACAGTAGTACTGAAACTTGGGAACTGTGACACGCTTTGGTTTCCGCTCTGACATGGTGCAAGCCATCGCTTCTGCTAGGAATGCTCTCTTTCAACCACTGCTACTCAAGGAAACAAAGAAAGAGAGAAATTAAATGATTTAACCAAAGCACATGGTAGTAAATGGAAGATCCAGAATTCAAACCAGCTGATTAAATCCCAGTCTTTATGCTTTTAGCCACTAAGCAATGCAGCTTCTCTACCTGAAAGTTAGTTTCTGCTAAATGAAGACTGAAAGAAGACAAACATGTTAGGAAAGAACATTTATCATCCTTTCCAAGTGTGTAAAACTGAGTCCTTCAAATATCACACTTGGCCAATAGAGGTTTATATTTCATTACGTAGCAGAGGAAAGCGAAGAATGCACAACATGCTACACATCCAGGTAAGTCACGCACTTCCTTGTTTAATTTGTTTACTTTCTTGAGAAGCTACTCATTTGGGGAGCATAAGAACACCTTTTCCCGGGTGAAGGCAAACATGTGACAATCATTATGCCCAAACGGATGGGAGTCGAAGTTTCTGAAGTGTCTATAAAATGTATTATGTGAATATTTGTGTACACTCCCAGAGATCAAAGGGACCAGATCTCACATAAACTAAAGCAGAGTGCAGGGGCGTCACCTGGGGTGGGGA